CGATCTGCCTGTTCTGCTCCCCACTCTGTCTCTGGTGAAGCCTCTCGCCACCCCTGAGCCTCTGGCCTGTACCCCAGTTCTGTATGCACAAATAAACAAAATCTTTTAAAAAAAAAAAAGTCTTCAAGTTCTGAAGGCAAGCAAAAGTAGGTCTGAAGGCAAAAACAAGTCGGTCTGAGAGTGGAATTTTAAGAAAGTGTTAAAAGTAAAGAAAGCAAAAAAAAAAAAAAAAGACTTAATGGCCTGAAAGAGGGATCTTAAGAAAAAAATTTATGTTCTTCAATGACTTACTACAAACTGTCAAAGGTCAAGCATTTCTAGCAATTTATTTCATTAGCTCCAGAGATCAGACATGGCCTTGAAGGCCCACAATGACAGGGAGGACACTAGTTGGGCTGAGAAAAAGAAAGGGAGAAGGACAAGCGAAGGACCCGGTACATTGCCATGCCAGTACTTTGCCACCTCAGACTCACCTGAGGCCCCATGTGTCCCAGGCACTGGGGCCGCCTCCTGTTCATGGGCAGCCAGCCTGCTTCCTCGGCCAGCAGCTGGGGCATCTCAGCCAGGAGTGTCTGAGGAAGCCACCTGCAGGGCCACTACGCAGACCACTGGAAGAGGGACCGTTCCACTCTCTGGGAGAGGGGGTCAGCCCCAACCACAGGCCAAGGTGGGACGACAGGCTTGACCGTCAGCTGCCTCTGACTGTGTACAGGAAAAGAAGATGTTTTCTGAAGAATCGCAGAGTTGTGATAAGTCTTGGTGACCTAAGAAGTGGCAGACAAAAAATCACCTTCTTGGTGAATAAAGGATCACTTACTTTGCCTTGCTCCAGTTCTTTAGACTGGCCCACTGGTCAGCTGTCTCCCTCACTGGTACTGATGACTAGCCTGAGCCAGGACACTTTACAACACCACTATCTTGCTCACAGCCAAGGCTGGGGGAGTTTGTGCCCTCTTTAAAAAAAAAAAATTTGTTTTGTTTGTCTTGTTTTGTTTGGATTAATTTTTGGAGGTAAAAGAAAACCTGGAGGTATTAAAAGCATATCTGTATTATACATGACCTTAAGAGACAGGCAGGACCAGGGCCCAGTTAGCTACAATCAATGTTTGCCTCTCTGGGAAACCAGCTTCTGTCCTGGTTGCTCCCCTTTCTCAGTCCCTCACCAGTTTCCTTTATTGGTCTCTTGTTTGGGTCTTGCATCTCTTCTGAGGTCCCTTAGATCTTCACCCTGTGACAGAGCCCTGACTGCTTCCCCACTGATCCCCTCCATGCCCTTTGTCCCAACAAAGGGCAATCAGGCTCCATCTGTAGCAGGAGAAATGAGCCCCAGAGCAAGTTAGGGTTAATTGGACAGTTTCAGGGACAGCACAGGCAGGACTTTGGAGGGGGTTGCGGGGAGAAAGTCAAACAGGCTCTTGAGATAAGGACAGTAAATGCTAAGGAATAATAACTAAATCGTACTCCAGAGATGAGGTCAGATGCCCAGTAGGATTAAACAAAAATAGTAAAACTTGAGAAAATAAGATCTTGGGCAGCGGAGGTAAACTCTAAGATAAGGGAGGGGGATGGAAAATACCCTGAGCCACAGGCACCCAACAACTTCCTTACTCCTCCTGAGCACAGCATGCATGAGAGTCCTTGCAAGAGAAAACTACAGTTTTCTACTGTAGAAAACTACAGTTTGCACACACTGAAACTCTAAAAAGGCCAAACCAACCAACCAAACAAACAAACAAAAAACAACTGTCTTCAAAGACTGCACCCTGCAATCTCCGCCAGCACAGATCTGTGCCACCTCAGATATGGTGGAACAAAAATTAAAAGGGGGGAAATGAAGTGGAAATGTCAGGCTGACCTGTTGACTAGCTGACATTGGGACATAGCCTATAGACTAAAAGTTTTAGGGAACAACTGATAAGCACCCTCAAGACTACACACACCCTGATTCATGCATTCCCAACTGACTTTACCCTTTGCCTTAGTCAATAAATACTCTGCAACCTAGTTGCTGGGGGCTCAGACTTTGGAGAAACATCTCTGGGCCTGCGGGGTGAAAATAGAGCTTCTCTCCTCCTCTCTGAGTGCCTGGTTCCCTAATGAAAATCTGCCATAACGATTCCACTTTTACAAGCTGCCTAGAGTAGTCAAATTCAGAAAGACAGAAAACAGAATGGTGGCTTCTGGAGTCTGAGAAAGGAGGATTCAAAAAGACTTTAAAAGGCATCTAGTTCCACTGCCAATCTGATGTTTCAATATTTTTTCAATATTCTCATGAAGTCACCATATCGCTTCTGCTACATACTTTTAGTGACAAGAAGTGTACTACCCACCAAGGCAGCTGATTCCAAGGATGGACAATACAAAGTTAAGCCTTGTGTGTCTTCCTGTTATTTCCACCCTCTTGCCTCAGTTCTCTCCTTTAAAGTAATGCCAAATAAATCCACTGTAGGAAAACCCTTCAGATAGTTGCAGCCAGGATCCCTGAGACTTCTCTAGGAAATCTCCCTGACCCCCTTCATAAAATTCACATAAAATAACCTGAAGGGCTCTCTTCCTCCTCCCAATTCTGTCACTTCTAGTTGGACAAATTCCAATTTTTCTAGATCCCTTTTCAGAGTATGTGCGAGAAGTAGACCCCGAGCTCTGTAAGAGACCCAACTGGCACAGAAGAGATGAACCTCCACTTCCTTACTCTTTCTAAAGTGCAGGCTTTGGTTCCGGATGTCCAAGTACCCCTTGCTATGTTTAGCAATAACATCATGCTCCAGTTTCCTCTTTTGCTTCTTGTACAGTAAAACCTTAAGTAATGTTCATGCCTCCTACTATTAGTCTAAATACGTGCACCATTCATTGAAATATGTTCCATAGTTTTATGTCTATATGCAAGAAATCATATGGTTATAACAAGTTCACGTTCTCCTCCTGAGCTTAAGGATAACACAGACACTGCCAGAGCTACAGAGGAGGATGGAGTAGGGCCCCAGCATGGACCTGAATGTCCACCACCGAGAAGCATTTATTTCTCTGTAGTCTCTGTGTCCTCACGTGAAGTGTTTAGAGTTAAAATGGGAAGGATATTAGAGGAAAGTCGTGGAGAGGGCAAAAAAATTGAGAACTACCAAGCGGAATTCAAAATCCTAGCCCACTTGTAACCACAATTTCTCTGCAATGTGTTTCACCTTCTGAAACATCTGTAATCAGGGAAACAATAGATTGCCTGCCTTAAAAGGTGTTCTCTAGCATAGAGACCTTCAAGTGCTGAAAGAGACCTTGTCGGTTAAGGTGACCTTGCCTATTAAGGTGCCGGTCAAGGTGTTATATTACAACCCTAACACTGCAGGGCCTTCAGCAGAATCCCTCCAACCCAGGCTCAAGGCTCCCCTGGTGGTACTCCTGGCCAATTCCAGGCCATAGCGTCTGGGGGAGCTTGGGCACTCACGCTGCCAGTCATTTAATTTACCCAGGGACCTGCCCGGGCGTCAGTTTCCTTATCGGCATAATGGAGATGTGTGTGAGAGAGACCGGGTGTTCAGCCGCTTCCACACCAGACAACAGGGTTCTATAGGGGGTACGGGCGGGACCTGGGACTGCTACAACCTGAGGGCGCGGGCCCACACCCCCTTTTCAGCGCGCGGGGGCGGGCTGGTCGGAGCGACTGGATTGGACAACCCGGCGCGGGGCGGGTCCCGGGGCGGGGCTTCCGGCCTCCTCCTCCGCCGTTGCCAGGGGAGACAGCCGCAGGGAGGCGGAAGGAGCCGAAGACCTGCCATAGCCGAGCCGGACGCGGGAGGGCTGGCGGCCATGGCGGTCTCGGAGCCCGGCTATCGGAGCTGGTCCTTCTTCCCCGAGGTGCCATCCGCCACCTTCTTCACCGCACTGCTCTCGCTGCTGGTGTCCGGCCCCCGCCTGTTCCTGCTGCAGCAGCCCCTGGCGCCCTCCGGCCTCTCGCTGAAGTCCGATGCCCTGCGCGACTGGCAAGGTGAGCTGGGGCGGGACCCCGGTGCCAACCCTTTTCCTCGGGCTGCGCCACGCCGTGGGGCTCCGGTCTCCCAGTACTCGCGCCATCAGGCCTCACCTCTGCCATCCCGTCTCGGTTCGCATCAGCATTCCCCCAACCCGGAGGACCAGTCCCATAGTCCACGTCTTTGTTTTCCCAGAGTCCCATCTTCATCATCATTGTAATCCTTCCCGACACGAGTGTTCCCCCTTCCCTGTCGGGACTGGCCCCCAAATTCATCTCTAGCACACCCGTTTCATTCATTCATCCGTGCTCACTCTCGGAGGAGGGTTTTCCCTCGCCCGCCCACTCCCTGACACTTAGACACCTACATCTGCTTGAGGGCCTAACCCCCACTGAACATTTTTTTCCTCGCCTTCATCAAGACTTCTGAGCTTTATTTGTGACAACCTCTTTAAGCCTCCAGTCTGCTTGGGATGTGGCATTTATTTCTTACGCAGCTGCGTTTGTGTCATACCCCTGACTTGGATTCCCAGTTTACAAGGGGCAGGGGCATCTACTCCCTAGGAGGGGCGTTTGTTTTCTCTAGGGGAGTGAAATGTTGCAGACCAATAAAGCATAAACTTTGGCTCATAAAAAACGTTTTTTAGTAACCCGTCTTGTTCTCCATTCTTTTCGGGGAAGGAAAATGGGGAATTCGTGTAGCTCTTGTTTAGCGAAGCACACTCACCTGTGTTAATCCTCGTGATGATCTCATGACGTAGGTTTTATTATTGCCCATTATTTAGATGAAACTGAGGCTCAATGCGGAGAATTGCAGAGCTATTAAGTCACACAACTGAGACAAGAACCCAAATCTTTCTTTTTCTCGTGTGATGCATGGGTCTGGAGCCTTAGGGTATATAATCTCCAAATCATATAGAGTTGCTTCTAGAATCTTCACGTTTATATTTGGAATTTCAGTTTTGGAGGTATTCAACAAATGATGACGTACTCTCAGATAATGAAGCCTTCAAAGAAATGAACTGACTGAGTGATTCATTGCCTCCGCTATGCTCAAATCTAAAAATGCTCCCCACGGTCAACCCACCGGAGATACACACAGCACGTCATCATAGATACAGAGTGCCAGCCAAAACAGCTCCCTTTTTTCTTCTTTCCTTCAGTGTCTGTGAGGGTGGGGTTCAGGGGCATGTGAATATTGGACACATAAGAGACCTCTGAAGATCTCAAGTGTAAGCCTGTTACTTTGCAGTGAGTAAACCAAAGCCCAGAGGGCCGGTGACTTAAGAGCTCTACCAGCACAGTCGTGGTAGAGCCAATTTCACTCCAAGTCTTTAGTTTCCAACTTCAGTATTCCTGCCACTGCGTTCCCATCTTACGTGTAACGTTTTGGCTTGCAGGGATTTAAAAGTATGTAAGAAATGATTGCTTTTAGAAACATACAAGTAAGATTCTTTGCTGTCTTATTGCATGTAAAGCATAGTTCTATCTGTAAGATTAGGTACATTTTTCAGGGAAGACTTCTGAATTCTTTATCTACAGTGACAGTTTTATGATCTTTATAGATGCAAAATAATTCATGGTCCCTTTTTTCTTCTTCTGAACAGCCACTATGGAAGGAGAGGTCAGGATTACAGCCGAGGAGACTGGCACACAGAGTGTTAAGTGACACCCACTCAGTGAACCCTGAAGCTGTTACAATTAATTAACCCTCAAACTGCCCGGTGAGATAGGTCAGTATTAAAATCTAAAAAAAAAGGATGATAAAGCACATTACAAATTCAAAGATCATCCCATGCTCAAAAGTCATTTTTTTCCCTACATGGAAGCCTGTCACTGATGAGACTTGCTCCAGGTCTGGGAAAAAGATGAGCTTAGATATTCACGCCTCTCCTTTGAGTCTGGGGTCTTACATTGCTGCCTCCCACTGCTTATCTTGGTTCCTGCTGATTTTCACTGGCTCAGTGATCTACTCTGGGGGCTACTCCCCCTTTCCTGAGGTGGGTTGTAACCTGGCTATCACTCCTTGGAGCAGCCCACTCTTAGGTCTCTAATTCAGTTCCTTCTGCAGTTTACAGGCTGGTGACCTACATCTTTGTCTATGAGAACCCAATCTCCCTGTTCTGCGGTGCTATCGTCATCTGGCGCTTTGCTGGCAACTTTGAGAGAACCGTGGGCACCGTCCGCCACTGCTTCTTCACCGTGATCTTCGCCCTCTTCTCTGCTATCATCTTCCTGTCATTTGAGGCCGTGACAACACTGTCGAAGCTGGGGGAGGTGGAGGATGCCAGAGGTTTCACTCCAGTGGCTTTTGCCATGCTGGGGGTCAACTCTGTCCGCTCTCGGATGAGGCGGGCCCTGGTGTTTGGTGTGGTCGTGCCCACAATGGTGGTGCCATGGCTACTGCTGTGTGCCTCCTGGCTCATTCCCCAGACCTCTTTCCTCAGTAATGTCTGTGGACTTGGCATTGGGCTAGCGTGTATCCTTCCTGAGAGATAACATGCCTAAGGGTAAACCAAGATGGGGGGGTCTGGGGCCTCAGGTAGCTAGTCCGTGGGCTCAGATGCAAATAATCTAAGGCCGAGCTTTGCCTCTGAAAACCATGTGACCTGGATGGAGTCTTTTCTCTAGTCCTTCTCTAGGTTTCTTTAGCTGAAAAAACAACATAACTATCCCCTCATGCCACATGCCACCTTAACACTATCAGTGAAATATTCTGAAAGTTTTTCCCCTTATGAACTGGGTATAAACCTACTTTGACTCACTATGTTGGAAGAATCTGAAATACCATGAGCTGGAGATGAATAGGAAACAGATTTTTTAAATTTTGTTATTGTTTTTATTTGGTTTCATCTTAGGAAAAAAAAAGTGTAAGATACAGACCATGACCATATGATTGGTTAAAAATTTAGATAAGGCAAAAAAAAAAAAAACTTAGATAAGGCTTTACATACCTTGTGTATATATTTTGGCAATTAGGAAAAACAATTCTAAAATACAAAGTGGGACACTTTTTTAAATATCAGAATTGATGATATTGGGGCTTACTCAGTACATTCCTAAAATCTCTATAAACTCTTAGGCAGTATATAAATATACATAAGATAGCTCTTTTTTTTTTTTAAGATTTATTTATTTATGCATACAGAACTGGGGTACAAGCCAGAGGTGCAGGTGGTGAGAGGCTTCACCAGAGACAGAGTGGGGAGCAGAACAGGCAGATAGACGAAATACACTGCTGAGGGGAGCAGCAGGTGGGTCAGGAGAGGTCTGGATCACCTCCAGGGTGGGGATCGAACTCATGCTGAAATGGCTTTAGCTTCTTAGTGCTGTGCTTTAACCCGCTGCGCCACCAGGGAGGGCCCAAGATAGCTCTTTTTTACCTTATTTTTAAATTTTATTACAATTTCACTTACTTCAAACTTTTTTTCTAATATCAAAGTTTAAAGCTATGAACACCCCTATAGGCACTACTATAGCTGCATCCCACAGATTATGATATACTGTGTTTTCATTTACTCAGTTAAAAATACTTTCTGATTTTCCTTGGGTTAGAAGGGTTATTTATAAGTGAGTTGCTTAACTTCTACATATTTGGTGATTTTCTAGAATTACATTTGTTACTGAGTTTTTATTTCATTTGGTCCTTTTAAATGTTTTTCTGGGCCTTTATTTGCTGTATCTTTGTGAGTGTTCTTTGTATACGGAAAAGAACATAATTTATAATCTGAACATAATCTGGTGGGTATAGCGTTCAGTTAACATGTTAGTTATGTCAAGGTGTTCATGTTCAAGACTCCTATATTCTCATACTTCTATCACTTACTGAGAGAAGACCATTGAATTCTGCAACTAAAATTGTGGACTTCTCTATTTTGTCCTTCCAACTTTTATAATAATTTTCCCTTTTTTAAACAGGCATGATTCACTTTATTTTTCTTGTATAAAACAATGTGGTAGCCATAACTGGAGCCTTGGTCCTTAGTGGTCATTTTTATTGTTACCCTGTATAATCCATCGTTTGTCTCCAACTTGTTTCATAACTTTCCCTCATTATCATTCAGCTATTTAACTGTCATGTGCCTCAGAGTGGTTTTCTTTGTGTACCTTGTTTGAAGTTTATTGATCTTGTACGTATGGGTGTAGAGTTTCCATCAACTCTAAAAAATTATCATAATTATTTCTTCAAATATATGTTTCTCTAGGATACCAGTTTACACATATGTTAAACTACTTGATATTGTTTACTGGTAGGATAACTCAGATGATTTATTTTTCATTTTTTAGCTTTTGCCCCCCTCCATTTCATTTAGAATAGCTTCTATCGTGCTTCCTTTAAGTTCAATGATCTTTTCTTTTACAGTGTCTACTGTGTAGTTTTATCCATCCAGGTAGGTTTTTTTCTCCCTCAAGTTCAAGAGGTTCCCTTTGTTCTTTTTTTAGTTTTCATTTCTGTCTTGACTTTCTTTCTGTGTTCTATCATGTGGTTGTGATTTCCTTTAAATACTTTTACATATGTATAGTAGTTGTTTTTTTCCTGATAGGCACTTAACTTACTTGTTAAGGCATTGCCTTTTTGGAGTTCTCTGCTGAATGCCCTGAGTGTTCACACACTGATTAGAACTTCAGCATATCTTCGTCCTGTGGGAACTATAGAGGTATTTCTCCCAGCATCCTGGAGTTATTCTTCCCTCATAGCTACTCTTTGCATAGCTTGAGGAGTCTCACCCTGTGTATGTACACCCTAGAGCGTACTAGGGCAATCTCTGCTTCATTACACAGCAAGGACAGAGTTACGTACTCACTTATGATTGCAGAGGTAGAGGAATTCAAGAGATGGCGGATGAGTTGTCTTAGGGAAAGGGGAAGGTTAGCAGCTATGTACCCTCCCTTTTTACTGGCCATATTGCTTCTGAGATACAGTGGGTGGAAGCTCAACATTTGGTTTTCCTTGGGCTTGAAACTTTTGTAAAGTAATGGTGGGAATGAGCACTAATATCCCTGTAGAATAAATGTGGGAACCTGTATTCTTCGGTGTGGAGAATTTAGGCCTTTAGCTGCCTCCAGTTTTACTTAATATACCAACCTCAGATGGCATCACATACTGCTATTCCATCGACCTCTCAGAGCGTGTAGCACTGAAGCTTGACCAGAAGTTCCCCTTCAGCCTGATGAGGAGGATTTCAATGTTCAAGTACATCTCAGGCTCTTCAGCTGAAAGAAGAGCAGCCCATAGCCGGAAGTAAGTAACAGAACTCTTAAATCTTACTTTTAAAGCAATTTCAGGGCTTGTGGAGATGGTGACTGGTCATGGGGGAAAGAAACAGTGTGCAGGCAGCCCTAGGCCCAGAAAATCTATACGCAGTGTTCTGAGTGTTTTAGAGTCTGCCCAGCTACATACATCAAAAGTAGGTGCCAGCCCAGCAGAGGTGGGAAACGGAGAGCACTGGAAGCCTTGTATTAATCCTAAATGGCATATGGCAGACTGAGGGGTGATGGGGAGAGGGGGCTACACTGTGTGCTGGGCCTATACTTAAGTCCCTGATGTACAAACATCAGTGGTATTGGCAATGGTTCCCCATATTCGGAACTTTGCACAAGTTCAGTGGATAAAACCTGTGGTCCCAGGCACAAGGCCTGTGGTGGGGTCTTTAACCTCAGCACAGACGGCTTCCCAAGACAGTCATGTCAGTGCCTGCCAGTCAGGACCTAGAGTTTATGAGTCACTGTTCTGAAGACACAGGTGGACAATCTCTCAGCAGACAAAGGCCCAGGTTCAAGCCTGTTGCTCCATTAGGGTCCTCCCACCAGCTCTCCCACAACCGGAAGTACATTCTCTCAGGGGAGAGTTGCTGAACCAGCCGCACATGTGAGCTGCCGTGGCCTGGCCCCCACCTCTGACCAGTGTGCAAGCTGTGTGAGCAGACTAGCCTTCAGCTGACCCTGAGTGGGCCCTTCTCTCTCTGGGCATCTGTTTTCTGTTAAAATTAACCTTTCCCCCAACTGAGTACTTAGAGCTAGCTGACAGGAAGTGTTAGCAGCATGTTGTAATGTGAACAGCAGCTCTGCTCCAAGTATTTCTCCTGTGTGTGCTGCTTGCCTTGGCATGACTGGCCGAATGACCGTTTTGTCTCTTGTTCATTCCAGGATGAACCCTGTGCCCGGCTCCTACCCGACGCAGAGTGGCCACCCTCACCTGACCCCAAACCACCCTGTCGCCCAGATGCAGCATGCAAGTGGCCAGAAATTAGCTTCCTGGCCACCCTGTGCTCCTGGGCACATGCCCAGCCTGCCTCCATACCAGCCTGCCTCTGGCCTGTGTTACGTACAGAACCATTTTGGCACAACCCCTAATTCCTCTGGTGTCTACCCTGCTTCTGCAGGTGCCTCCCTGGGGGTTCAGCCCCCCGCCCCCCTCAACTGCCCTGGCACAGTGTATTCTGGAGCCCTGGCCTCCCCAACGGCTGCAGGCACCAAGGAGTGCTCACGGGTCCTAATCCCTTGAGAGAGTCTCCAGAGAGGTTATCTCACACCATGGCCTTCTGCAGAAGGTCCTCTTCTGAGATTTTCTTTACAAAAAATTATTTATTGAACACCTCTATGTGCCAGCTCTGTGTTGAGTACTTTGATATTCCTATTTCAATCTCGTTCATCTTCATGACAACTTTGTGAAGTGCAGTTTCTTGTCCCCAGTTTACAGGTGCAGACAGCGAGGCACTTTGTGATGCTATCAGGTTGTGTAGCTCTGCCATGCCATGGCTGGGGTGCTTGGCGTCAGGCCAGGGCGCCTCCTACCTGCCTGCCTCCTGGAGAACACAGGTTGAAGAAGAGGCCCAGGTTGTCTGCGGAAATTCTAGCTCTGCATTTCCTGCCCGTCGTGTGTGTTGTGCTCTTGGTTATAGTGTGTCCGTGTATCTTGTGTCTGCCTTTTGGAAGCTCCCAGCTGGTGTGCTTGGCGTCCCCAGGCCTGTGTAGTGTTTCTCCCTGCAGCGGCACCCTCACCCAGACTTCTGCCCAGAAGTGGTGAGACGGACCAGTGTGAACCACAGTGGCCTGCATAGTGTTAACTGCCTTTGTATAAAGAAACAGCCTTCAACCTGCTTGTGGTGTGTGGTCTCTCCGGGGTCTGCTGGGGGATTAGAGAGAACATTGAGATCTGGGCATTGGGGTGATGAGGAGAAGTGTTGGCAGGTCATTGAGTCAGGAAAACAACCTCTACTCCACTTCGGTTTGGGGGGTGAAATGCAACAGTCCTGGGGGAGCTAAGATTGGCAATGCCTTCCCTAAATAGGGGAGCATCTTCCCAGGGCTGTCTTACAGCAATGACACCTGTAGGTGGAAGCAAGGAGGAAAGCCCTGCATCTTTCCTGCTCCATCAGTGTCTCCCACTGGGCCAAAGCCAGGAATGCATTAGTGAGAGACCCAAGGAATGTCATCGGTGGGGGTCGGCCTCGGGAGGCAGGGCTGGACTGGGACAGCAGGGTAACAGCCAACAGGCACCTGACTAGCCCAGGCAGAGCGTGTGGCTTCTAGTGAGCGCCTGCTGCGGCTCCTCCCCACATCAGGAAGTGCCTGACTTGCAGGTGCCTTCATTTCCCATGGGAACGGGGTGGCTCACTAGGGCTGGCTTTTTGACAGGTCCTGGGTGTTAGAGGTGGAGAAGACACCCACAAACCCACCCAGCCAAGTGGGACCCATGGTGATAGGCATATACTTGTGTGGCCTCATTTGGGGGACGGCTTTGGGGGTGGAGCTGAGCCGGTGACTCCTGATTGTATTGTGAAGGATTCACCAGTCAAGGAGCCAGGTGCCTGCGCTGCAGTTGGCACGTGTCAGCAGTCACAAAGCAAGTCTGGCAGGGCCCAGCCTGGGCCCTCTGACTTCAGCCATACCTGGCACCTTTCCCAGTGTCACTTGGTGAAGGCAGGCTGCTGTACGTTCTTGAGTTTTTCTTCCACTCCCATCTCAGGCACATAACCAGACCCAGTGTGGCAGGGTCATGTCCTTAAGTTGGGCTTCCTGGCATGGACTGCCCAGCTGTAGAGGCCATGGGCCTGGGGATAGTGGGGCTGGGGGGCCCCTCAACCTCCCACACATCTCTGAGTAGCAAAGTTATGAGGATCCTCAGAAGCCATTCATTCCAGCCATCACCCCTTCCTCGTTTTACTGGTGCTGTCAACAACCCTGACTACAGCATCTGCTGAGACAGCTGCTCTGGAGCTGACTGTGCCTGGATCGGGCAGCACTGTACCACCAGCAGCCTGGGAGCAGTCAGAAGGGGCCATCTCTCCCCTCCATGTGCATTTTGGAGGACCTGTTGAATCATCCACATTCACAAATAAGTGTGTGCCCAGACTCGAGATGCAAGCTAGAGGTTGGGATGAAGGCCGGCTCTGAGCAGAGAACCCCAAAGTGGGGCTATGCTCAGTAAATATTCATCTAAATATTTATTGATGAATGAGCTTAGCACAGGCCTAATCACAGGCAGATCCCTGCCCCTTGGGAGGCCAGGGAAGAATGGACAAGCAGGCAACACTTTATACGCCTCTAAGAAGAGCCCCCCTTCCCTCCACCCCATCCTGGAGAGCTGGTGAGCTGAGGATCAGACCCTGAGCACGTTCATGGAGGGCGTTTAGAGGCAGGGAAGGAAGAAGGCACCAACCATGTCCTGTGGCTATTGTTAGAATGAAGAACACATGATCGTCAGCACAGGGAAAGCGACTCCCTGCAACCAGAAACCTCTCTCCCATCCCCAGGCAGGCAGGACCTACTGCAATTAGAGAAGCTTCCAGACTTTGTCCAGATTCCTCGCTTTGTCTGCAGGGAGCAGCGGAGAAGCAGAACCACACTGGGGCCATCTCTACAAACCTTCCCGGGGCAGTTTAGCTCGAGGCCCTAGAGTGACAGGAGGAAGAGGGCTGGCGCCTTCTCCCCTCCCCCACTGCCTAGAGACTCACCTCCTGGTGAGGGAATCAGATTTGTGGATCACTACAGCTCAAATAAAAGGCTGTGTGCCCTGCCAGGCTTCATTCCTTTTCACTCCTGATTTTCATTCATTCATGTATCACTTTGTGAACCAGGACTGAGTCCCAGGCCTGTGCTAAGCTCTGGGGTCATGAAGATGAAAAAAGAGCCAGGCCTGCCTTCACAGGATGTGCTCTTGGTCCATTAAGGGAGATGCTATATGGAATGAGTGAGAGAGAGAGGAGCCAGGAGGGAGGGGCAGAGAAGAAACTTCCAAGGAGGAGAGATACCAGGCCAGGGCAAGGCCAGCAGGAGGTGGTCACAGCAGAAGCAGAAGCTAGAGAGTAGAGATCCAGAAGGTAAACAAAACACACTAGGAAAGAGCTGGTTGCGTGCAGTAGCCCAAGCTGGTGGCCTTGGCTGGCAGCCTTGTGGGGGGCTGGGGGAAGTAAGGGCAGACAGGCTGAGGGGAGGGAGGGCGGGAGGGTTTTAGGCAGAAACAGAAGCAGGTAAAAATTTCTGGGGTTGTCCTGAGCTTGTGGTCAAGCTGAATATGTGCACACAGCCTCACTCCTGAAATCAGTCCTCCTTCCCTGCCCAGAGGAGCCTGAGCGGGATGGGGGAAGTCCCCCCACAAAGAGCTGGAGGCAGGATAATCCTGCAGGATTCTCTCAGGCATGGAATGTGAGGGTGTGGGGAACTGATCTTGGGGTTGGATACTTGACTTGGGTCCCTTGGGTTCCTGAGAGTCACAGAGGCACCTCCCTGGTCTCTATCCCAGGGTGCTTCCTGAGCGCTGGTCTGCCAGTCTGCGCATGAACCTGTCAGCTGCAAGGGCGACATCTAGCCTGCATCTGGAGCTCCAGGCCATTCCCAGATCACACCTGGAAACTCGCTCTAGGCTTCCGGTTTAAGCCTAACGCCCCTTCCTGAAAGGTCCCCAGAGGCTTGCCTGACCAGTTCCACCCTTGAGTGGCAGCCAAGTCACATCTCAAGGCTGCCTTTGGTGGAACTCTCCCTCCGGGACATCTAGCTATGGCCTCCTACGCGCAGAGTGCCCAGGACGGGAGAGACAGTTTCCACAGACGTGGCCCTGGGATAGCTCCGGCCTTCCCAGTGCCCAGGAAAGCTGGAACCACATAGCGGCCCCTGCACTCTCCACCACAGCCTGCACAGACTCATGTAACCAGGCACAGCATTCTAAACATGTCTGTGTGCACGCACTCACAAATCTGGGCCCTCCCCCACGTCGATCAAGTTCAGACTGGTAGATGCCCACCACAAAAATGCACAGAGAATCATGCACGAGCTGGTCTGCGTGTGTCTGCACCCACATGTGCCTTGTCACAGGCAGAACAAGCACGCAGGTGGGAACCCCTGTCCCTCCGGCTGGCCCAGCTTCGTCTCCCACCACCCCTGCCTTTCCCGAACACACACAGAGATGAGCAGACGGCTGGCAGGAAGCATCTGAAAATAAGCAAAACCTTCAGGAACAGGCGTGACCTAAACCTTCAGGAACAGGCGCGGCCATCTATCTCCCTGAAAAATAGGGTGCTGCCCTTCTGCCCTTGAGCCTGCTCATCACTTGCCTGGAATTTCACCATCAGAGGGCTGTTGCTTTGAGTTCAGTCCCACCCTCACCCCATGCTTGTGAACGTGAGGCCCAGAGAGGGACAGTATTTGGCTAAAGACACACAGTGAATCCGTGAATGAAGACAGTGGCCACCACTGCCAGGAGTGAGGAGAAGGCAGGGAGGGGTCCCTCTAGAGTCCCCAAGGAAGCATGGCCCAGTCCACACCTTGATGTGGGCGTTTAGGCCTCCCAAAATATACCTGGATACATTTCTGTTGTTATAAGCTTGATGTTTTCGGTTGCACTAACTCTAGAAAGAGAACACAGGCAGGGTCATCCAAGCACCCCACATCACAGCCTTCCTCAGCACCCAGGAGGGCCCCAGGCCAAGCCTCACCCGTGACCCTGCACTGCCCCATGATGGCCTGGCACCAGGCCTCTCTGGGACAAAATGTGGACAAGGGCATTCTGGGGAGAACAGCATGTGCCAAGATGGGTGTGTTTGCTCTGCTGGTTGGGCCCAAAAGTGGGGTGTGGAAAGGTCAGTGAGGGTTTGCCCTTAGGGTTGGACTTGTGAGGTTTGGGGCCAGGGTGGGAAGTGCCTTGGGGACCAGCCTAAGGGGGGCACCAGTGAGACCAGTGAGTCTCTGCTCTGTCTGCCATTTGGAGGTCTGGAAGGAGTCACACTAATTTGCCCATGATAGAGCCCGGCTGAAGCAGGGCCCTCCCTGGGGCTGCCCCTTGGGTTCAGGGGTCAGGAGGCTGGAGTGTGAGCTCAGAGCAGGCCCCTGGCCTTCCCCTGGCCTGCCACCTCTGCCAAAGGTGAGCAGGCTGTGCCATGTGAGGGGCCCGTTCCTCCACCCCACGCACAGCCAGGGACATTCCTGTGGTTGCCAGAGAAGGAATCTAAAACCCTTGAGCCTCCTATTTGTTCTTTGTTGTTATCCACTCCCAGGTGTGGTCCCTCTTCCCTTAACTCCCAGGCCTCCAAGTGTACAGAAAGATCACCTGCCGTTACAGGTGAGGGAGGGCATGCCCAGGTGGGAGGGTGGAGGCCAGGTGTCCCACTGCCCATATGCCCCCTGCCCTGAAAGCTTCCCCTCTGCTGTGCAAGAAAGTGGGCAGAGAGGAGGGGTGACTCTCCACCCTCATTTTGCAAGGGGTCTGCCAGAGTGGGGAACTCTCAGCCACCTTGCTGAGACAGCTGGACAATGCCGAGTCCCTGTCCCAGCCCTCCTGTAAGAGAGGACACTGGGCTGAGCTGTGGGTGTCGTGTCCTGCAACTCTGGTATCCCTTCTCCTTATAGAGCAGCAAGGCAGAGGAGAGGAGGGACAAGACCTCCTGGGGCCCTGCGAGGAGGGTGGTAGGTCCCATCAGGGTGCCTCATCAACCTTCCTTCCCTGGAGGAAGCAGAACGGACAGGGAGATGGCCCGCCCTGGTGGTTCAGTGGGTTAAAGCGCTGCTCTATGAAGCTTTCGTCAGCCGCTGCAGCACCGGTTCGAACCCTGCCAGGGAGGTGACCCACATGGCGCAGCAGAGGTCTCCTGGCCCACCAC